TATTCAAGGATCCGTTGGATGCAGCTTGGAGTGACCTGGTCTAGTGGAAGGTGTCCCTGCCCATGGCAGGGAGCGGAACAAGATGATCTTTAAGGTCCCTACCGACCCAAACTGCTTTGTAATTCTATGAAATACAGAGCCAAACAAGTTCAGCTGTTCTTCAGGAACAGCTTTGTGCTGCTTCAGTCATATCCTGAGTCCAAGCACAATCTAAACTGCATTTAAACCAGTGTTGCTGCAGCTCCATCCTGCTGGAACAAATGTTCTAACATCTAATAAGTTCCATTTGAATGAAAATGAGCAGTTACAGTAAACTGGCTTCCCACTTCCCAAAGCAAAATTTCCTCTAATTTCATTTTAAAGAGCAAATCCTTCTCTCCCCAGCTGAGTACAAACAAACATCTGGAACTGCTGCACTTTAGGTTTTGTTTATGTATTTAATGGATGGCCAGAGGGTTAGAAGCTGCCAAATAATTCTAGTCTTAGGAGTTTATATTAACAAATTTCTGTGGGATTTGGGATTCATCTGCCAAGTTTCAGATAAAAGCAGAACTCTTGCAGTTGAGTTTCAACTCCTTGAAAGAACGGTCAGCAAATGGAAAGGCCAGACATGCATCCCTAATTCATCCTCATCCCCAAGTATTATTGTACCAGGTGAAGCTGTAACATTTAACCCTGCATGAATCATACTGAGTAAGAACTGGCAAACAGCTTAAACCACTCTGTTTGTCCCAGAGTTGTGTTTGAGAGCAAGATGTGGAAATGACCAAAATGTGGGTTTTTTTCTCTTTGGTGACTAATTTTACAGATAGAATAATTTTACTTCCATCTGAATATTTACAGGGGCAAACTCCTATCACACTGTCACTGCCAAAAATCAGTTTACTTTGTCAGATCTTTAAAACTTCTAGTTTCTGAAGAGATGTGTTTCCAAACCTGTACTTGAGCAACAAAGACAGGATCCATAGAAATACTGCAGGTCCACAACTGCTTCTGGGATTAAACCTATCGGTGTAACAAACATTTGTCTGCAATGTTTGGGAAATTTTGGTAACAGAAATATTTTTTGGAATAGAAGGTTAAAATGGTAGGGATCACTGGATCTTAATCTTGGGGGGAAAAAATAGGCCTGTATTAGGAAAAACCATAGATGACAGGTAGATCTGATGTCTGAAAAACATGTCTACCAAAGTTGTTTGCTACAGAGATAGATCACAAAAGCAAATTATTCAACATAGATTGATTAGATGTATTTTCATACCTACTTACACACCTTACACTAACAGACATACCACAAAAATACAGTTGTCACAAACCATGGCAATTTTGCAGAAAGAACCCAAGTGTTGTGTTTAAAAGAAAAACAAATTACTGCACAGGAAGTATCTTTCTATAACAATAACAATATTTTCAGATATTACTTGCCCTAGTGATACCTCAGTTCTCACCTCCTTACAGCCATCTATAACTGGAGTTTTTCAGGCATGGATTAACCACGGCTTCCCAGGCTGATTGTTTCCATCCCACAGGCTTTGAAATTGCATGATGTTATTTTAAATTGCTCATTTACAACCTCAGTCAGTGCTTCCCACTCCTTCCCTTCCCCAATCCTCCTTCTCCGGGGCCAGAAGGAGGAGGAATATGAGCAGTAAGCTCCCCGTGGTGAATCCAGCTCATCTACTCGAGTATTTTCCTTCCATTTGGGAGCTGTTCAAAACCCTCAGAGATTTTCAGTTACTGAGTATGTGCTTTCAGTGTTGCCTGTATGTATGTTTGCACAGTTTCAAGGATTTTCATCTGACTACCAGGCTTCCCACTGGGGCAATCCCACACAAGCACAGACGGTTGAGCCTAGCTGAGAATTTGATTTCTTTGTACAGAATCCACTCATGTAGGCAGGTTTTATTCCAGATGCATTTTGCTTCTCTTCCTGAACACCTCTTTTTTTTTTTAATATTCAGGGAAAAAAGTGTATCTCACCTCTAGATAGGAAGAAATTTGCTGATCAACATGTCTGTGTTTTCTCCCTTCCCAGTGCTGATTTTTCTTTTCTTAAGTACCCATTATTCTCTATTATTTGAAACCCATCTCAAAATGACATTAATTTTAAGGGTGGCAAGGGATTATTTTTTTTGTTCAAAATTAGCTTTGACATGTACAAACTGTGCAAAAATGACTTAGGGGTATGGAAAGAATTCCACCAAGAGAAACAAGAGCATTTGAAGTTTCCTGTGTACATTTAGATGGTTGATTTTGAATTCTTGATTTATTTTATTTCCCCAATTTGGTGTAAACCAAGAATTCCCCCTACCCCCCCAAACTGATGCACTGAACTATGAGGAAAAGAAGAGTACATAGTTTCCTTCCAGTTGCCTCCTGTTATTATCAGGCTATTCAGGAGGAGATAAGTCTCTCTGAGCAGTGATAAGCATGAATTGTCTCCTTTTAAATAAATACAACAGTTATAAGAAAGTGACAAACGTGATGTACATCAACATGCTGCTGAGTTGGTTCACAATTCACTGAAATTGTACCTGAAAAGCACTAATTCTGTATATAACTCTGCCTGGTTAAGCATCAGGTATGGAATCCTACCTGCATTTTCAACCACAATTTGCAAACTGGCTCATTTATGTTACAAAAACGTCCTTAATTTAGTGTTTTGTCTTCAACCTGGCAGCTCTAAGTATACTGAGAATGAAAGTTCTTATTTCAGTCTCTTATGGGTTATGGTAGACGGCTTTGAAAAGGGAAGAAATATGAAAAGAAAACAAAACCATTGTTTCCTTAATAGATTCCTATTCTTTACAACACAGAGAAACTTTCTAAGCTTGCATTATAATGTGCTCTTATATTTTATGCATAGCAATGCTAAAAAAGATTTACAGTAATTTTCAAGGTAAAACAAGGAAATTGAAAACTGGGGCACTGGCTGGTTTAGTGCGTTTTTCAAAGTTAAGCCTTTAAAGTAGGTAGTAGGGGGAAAAAAATCTTGTTCAGTACAGATTCTCAATAAGTCAAGCAGAAAATTATAATCTGAAGAAAAATAACTTTTAAAGAAAGCACAGACTTGTAGCTTTTTCTTACAATTACTGGAAGATTTTGCATCTCACAGCAGTTCAACACGACTGATCAGAAAGTGTAGGCTTGGTACAAAGACATAAATCAAAATCTGATTTCTAATTCCAAGCCTAAAGTTCCTGAAAAAAAGCATGGCTGCTATTTTTCCAACACACACACAACACTCCCTTTTTTAATGTAGTTTTTGTTACCTGACTCTTTCATTGTTACACTGGTGAGCTGATTTCAGCAATAACCCCCCCTATTTCCACTGAAGATTTAATTCTAACACTGTTCATGAGGAGGACAGAGAAGAACCCATAGGAGGAACAGTGTATCAGCAAACTCCACAGAATGATAGTAGAGATTAGGAAGTCTAAAACATCAGTGTTCTGACTTAAAACCCTGAAGAAGTGTTCAGTTTAAAAAGCCTATTTCCATGGAATTGCTTCCTTTCCTTTCAGTGGGATCTACATATTGCTCAGAGATTCTAAGGACAGCCTGCATTTCCAATAACATGGGCATACCTACAACCACAGTCTTCACTCCAGACCCTCTCTTGCCTAGGAAAACTAAAATCAGCATCATAATAATAGGAAAGGAGAAAAGTTGTCAAAAGAGACAGAAATCTTCATTTCTCCCCAACCACTAACAATGGCAGAGTCCAGAGCCCACTTTAATGCATTAACAAGTAATGAATTCAGGGATGAGAAATTATACCTGCCATAGACTAAGCCACCACCTTTGAAATAATATTTTTCTATCAATGCCTTAATTTCAGAGAATGACAAATACTACTGTACAGTTTTACACCATCTGTGGTAGGTGCTAAGCCACTTGATCCCTGTAAATTGTTCAACTTCCATATAAACACTTCCACCTCACCTTTAGGTCTTTATTTCAAGGAAAACCCCCAAACAAACAAAAACCAAAACCCGAACAACCCACCATTATAACCTAAGACCATTGTTTCCTTGCCTTGGCCCTCCTACAATAAGCAGCCCGCTTAGCCTTTGTCTCCTTCCACTCTTTGTGTAACAGTCACGACTTTTCTTAGTTATCACTTAGCTAAACCTAATAATCTGCTGTGATAAGTCTTTCCAGCTTTCTTTCCTGATGGCCCCCATGGTTTTTCTCTAAATTCCATTCAGGTTATTCAGTTTTTCTGTATAAAAATTGTTTTTCTGGAGGTTCACTTGCAGCATTATATAAAACAGTTCAGGGAAAGTTCTCAGTTGTTCCTTGGATAAGCAACAATAGCCTTTCCCATTCCATATTTTGGGGAAAAAGTCCATCAAAAATGTAAACCTTAAAATATTTTAAACTGAACATTGATGAAATATAGTGGAAGAGCACTGCATTAGGAGGAGGTTGCACCAGTTCACTGCTGATGTGGCATTAGCCTCTTGTCCACCCCACAGCTAGTCCAAAGCCACCTAAGGACAATGGAAGCAAATCTGCTAACCCTATTAAAATATTTTGGCTGACTTCACTGAGTGGAGCTCTAGGCTATGGTTGCATTTGAAAAATATTATGACAAAATGAAAGCTCCTTTAGTTTATTAAAGCAGCTACATGCCTGTTAATGTGGTGTTTAATGTTTAAGTATTGACTTGACTACACGACAATTTCTCAAACAGGTTCTAGAAATGAATGCAGAAAAACCATACCACAAAAAGGCAGGAAAAATAGCCTTGAAAGATGGAAAGGGAAGGTACTGTGGAACATTTAGGTATGACTTTCCCCACCCCAAAAAGTTCAGAAGTACCTGCAACTTAACACCTGAACCAAAGTTAACAGATAATTTAAAATGTTTAAAATATTCTACTTAAATGGCAACAATTACTTAGTCAAACAACAATGGTTTGATGTTTTCTTTTTAAGATCTCATGTTCTCATAAATAAGTTTTTTTTCCTTATTTTGCTCAAGTCTTTTGAAGTAATCAAAAAACTTGGAAGGGGTTTTGGTATCTGTGTAGGTGCTGAGAGCAGACAGAGGAAACAGCCTTGGTGTATATATTTGTGGTAGTCAATAGTGCCATTTCTTACTAGGTTAAGTCACAGCACATTGTTATTTCCATGCAGCTGCCTATGCCAGAAAGCAGAAAAAAGGCAGAAATCTTGGTTCTTCATTACAGAATTAATAGAAAAAGCCTCTAATTAAATCAATGTGTTAATAATCCATAACTAACTGTGAAACAAATGTCCAGTTACTGGGTTCAGTTTGCCATCAGTAGTTTCAGACAGATCCAATTTGTCCTGATTTGTTGTGCTGAACTTGGTTCCTCCCATCCCTTTAAATTCCCCATGTACCAGAGGAAAAGCAATAATGATATTTCTTATGCCTATTTACAACCATCGCACCAATTCATGAGAACATTTTGACTTTTAACATCCAGAAAAAACACAGCTTTCACCAGTTATATAGGCAGGCAAACCCCCCCCCCCCCATAACCCAACAAACAATTTAAACTGTACTATTTAGCAGGAAGGGACTGCAGAATCCATATGGCATATCCCTAGACTGAGCAGTAGGGGAAGCTGGAACAGACCTCTAAGGTTGAGCCCAGTCATGAACCCAGCAATGCCAGATCCACAACAGAACCATGAAGAAAAGAGGATTTATTCCATGCCAGGGCATGGTTGGATTCGCTGTTAAGAAAAGCTTTAAGCATCAATTAGACAACTGAGTCTCTGTGCAGGAATGGATTTCGTCCAAGTGAAGGCATTAAAAAGAGCAGGACACACATCTCCATAAGATGCCTATGAAATTTGCTGCAGTAAACAAGAGGCGGGAGGCCAGAAGGATCCAACTGGAGAGGCAAAGCAGCACAAAAACTGTGTGGTTACAACAAAAATATGCTATCTAAACAAACCCCAGCGAGAGGACCTTCCTGATCCTGGAAAGCATTCATTCTGAGTCGCTATTTTTAAGCAGATAAAACCATATGTATTTGAGAGATTGCCAGCTGCTGGTTCAGCATTTGTTTCAGACTGCTGTTGGCAGCAACAGCAAGTAACACAGCAAGATAAGACAAAGCACACTCAGATATGATTTCCCAGTTTGCCATCTAAGAGATTAATGGAATAACAGAGGACGGAGAGTGCACATTTCCACCCCCTGCAGTACCCCAAGATGTTACCCCAAGACGTTACTGAGCATTTCTCTTTGAGCACAATTCTTGAAACTCTCAAACAGGTACACTGACATGATCCAGCAATTTGTACATTTAATGCTTGACAACCATTTCCAGGTAATTTTTCCCCTTAATTCTTCAATACTTAGTACACATTTACCAGTACATAATACCTCAGGCCAGTAAATAATGCCTCAGGCAGAGTTTTTACTGTAATTCCTTAATTTTCCAACAGTCCACAGTTATCTGGACATACAAAGGAATTATTTTCTAGCCACCAATTAGCAGAACAGAAGTTCAAAAGCCTCCGCTACGGCTTTAAGACAGAGAATTCCTTAATCCATAAAAATTAATGGAGATTATGTTAAAGAGACTTAAATATTTAAATCCTTCCCCACATTAGTCACTCTCTTTTATGTGCAGGTAACTCCAGCTGAAGTCCTCAGGAGCCCTGTGTGTGTGTGGCAGAACAAACTAATCTCTTCAAATGAGAAACGTGAGTTTTTTTGCCAGCTCTCCCCTGACAGCAGAAGGTGGCAGCTTCTGAGCTCCAACTTTCCCCCCACACTGAACCTCTTATGACTTTATGTTAAAGGCTTAATTGGCTCCAAAATTCCTAAGTGGAGCCATTTATTATTGCTGTGGATGGTTGTCCCAGTTACAGATAACTACAGTGTGCAATTAAGTAGAACTGACTTCACAGCACCAGACAGAAGTCCTGAGTTTTCAGTTTGTCTTGGATCTGAGGTCTGACTTCATCATCTTATACCAGTCCCAGGAAAATACCAGCACTAAAGGATCCACAGAGATACTTTGTACTGTTCTTTTCATGGCTACACACCTATTAACTGTAGTTACATTAAAAAGTTTTGATCTCAGTTTCTCTCAACGTCATGTCTTTAAGTAGAGGTATCCTCAGAAACCGAGGAGATTTTTAGCAGAGTAATTGTCTTGAAGATAAAAAGTTGCATTTCAAATATTTACCAGAGGGTATTTATACTGTACCTGTCTAAGAAAAAAGGGGGATTTTTTTTTTCCTTTTCATTCCCCTTTCATTTCTTTTCTTCCTGGCCCCTGAGTGCATCTCCCAAAATATTTTGGTTTCTCTTGAAGCCAGAGGCTCTTTGTGAAAGCAAAAAAGGGGTAGATTTCCTATCTTCAGGAGGTTGAAGAACCACATGTACTCAGGTTAGTTCGTGCTGAAATTTGTGGCTTAGTTTGAGACTCAGGTTGTCTTTGAGCAGTTCAGATGCCACTAGCAGGAATCATGGCCTCCAAAAAGATTCCCACTGCTTCAGAGTCAACATTCATGTTTCCACACTGCCTTTCATGTGGATGCTCTCCTCTCTGTGCCTGTGGATGCAGAGATACAGCCTTTCCCTCCTTGTACCTTTCAGAGGGGCTGAACCCACCAGATACACTCAGGAGCTGGGGTAGTGACAATGCAAACTACATATTATAACTTATATCTCATAGACTCATTTAGGTTGGAAAAATAATCACTCTAAGTGATAGGACAGGGGGGAGTGTAGGTTTGGATGGGTTATAAACCTCAAAGGACAGCAACAGCAGCATGCTGATATCTGTAGCTCACAGAATGGTTTGGGTTGGAAGCAAATTTAAATATCATCTAGTTCCAACCCCTTGCTATGGGCACCCTCCACTCGAGCAGGTTGCTCCATGCAAATAGGCCTTGAACATTTCTAGGGATGGGGGATCCACAGCTGCTCTGGGCAACCTGTGCCAGGGCCTCACCACCACAGTAAGGAGTTTCATCCCAACATCTAATCTTAATATCTCCTCTTTTAGCTTTAAACCATATGCATATTCATCTCATCATCGACTCAACAGTGTTTTCTCATATTCTTTAATCATCTGCAGCGGCATTTTGGAGAGAAGAACAACCTACAGAAAAACCTGTCCTCCCTACACCATGGGTTTTCCCTGACCAGGTGTAGAAAACTCTGTGAGTTTGCACTCAAACCCACGTTCTACACTTCCTGTTTCACTCCCGATTTCTGTCTAAGCATCTCTCAGAAGAGATGCTTGGAGTCTTCCATGATATAACCTATATGGTGTGCATATAAAACACATACACAGGCATTTCCCCCCCCTCTCTTGCAGGCATTTGTAGCAGCAAGACACAGTGTATGTGTGGGAAGGAGCTGCCCCCCAAAATCCAGGCAGACCACCAGGGCTGGCTCTGGCGTCCCTATTACCACTAGAGGTCAGCTGGAGCCCGGTGCATCCCCCTGCACGGACGAGAGAGAGGGAGGGATGGATAGAGGGATGAAGGGCACAGTTCTGACCTCTCAGGCTGTTCTGTTCCAAAATTAGCATCAGGCCAGGCAGCTGTGAAAGCCAGCCTTCAAACCAGCTTGATTTAAGTTGCTGCCTTCAAAGGAAAAGTGTTGAACAACCGGGGAAAAAAGTGCAATAAGGTAAAGAAAACTAGTGAACCCTTTTGTATCTCAGAGGAACCCTCTGCTGAAGCTTTACAGCACAAATTTGGGTACCTGCATATGCTGCTTGGGCAGAATCTAATCACAAACACACAGAACCTTTTCTGGCAGATTGAATGAATCCTTCCGTACAAATCTGGGCTGGAGCCCTAGAGACTTGAGACCTAAATAAGTATTGACAATTCTTACTAATAAATAAATAAATAAATATTCATAGCTATTGTTTCACAGAACAATTTGGGTTGGAAAGGACCTTAAAGACCATCCAGTTCTAAACCCCCTGCCCTGGGTAGGGGCACCTTCCACTAGACCAGGTTGCTCAAAGACCTGCAGAAGTCATCCCTACTCGAGGAACTGGAATTACATTCCCACACAGCAGTTTTACTGCCTTGCAAGAATCCAGAGCATCCAATTGCTCTGTTAGTAGTCAATGATACATTAGTACTGTATTTAAAACAATACAAGAAAGTAGATTTTAGCCTTTGACATACTGTTAAAATGGACATTACACAGTAGATGTACAGCATCCTGGGCTCGTGGGAAAGTTCACTGGAATATTTTCAGAGCATTTTCAGCAAGCTAAGCCTTTCCTATTATTTTCATGCTTACAAACTGATGTTCCTTTTGTGAAACAGTTTGATATAATTTTGGAGGTATTTAATTCCTCTTACACAGTTCAACACATTCTTATTAAATTTTATATTCCTTTCTAACTTTTTGGCAAGGATTCTCCTAGAAACTACTAAGTTGTATGAAAG